TCTCTTAAAGATGTTCGGTTATATTTAAAACGCGGACAGGATAGGCATATTTATACTGTATGAATCTTAGCCAGACAGCATCAAAATATGTCGAATTTTTTTCGCTGAAATTTTAACGGTTTATCTTTATAAGACAACAGAACTCGGAAGACAGAAAATTTTGCATAATACTATGGCTTAGAAAGTAAAATATTAGCTTCAAAGTAAACTAATTTGCTGTTTGAGCAACCACTTCTGAATGTAAACTCTAAACACAACACAAACCCGAGAAACTTGTATTAAAATTGCGCCGTGATGAATTTTCCAATTTGCCCAAACTTCGAAACGTTTATAGTCTAACTTGGCTATACTTTTCTACATGACAATGAGAGCTTAATCTTTCGTCGAAGTCATGGCATATAGGAAGTATCAAGAGCAACATTTGGACATATCCTGATATACTCGATTTGCCGATTGATTGTTTGTCATTGTTAACAAAAATTTAGATTTCGCCTACTGCATTGCTTTAGCACTTTATATACACCGATTGTTTGCTGAACATGCGAGAAGATGATGAGAATATTATTCTACGTGAACATCGTGAAGTTCAACGCTATAGTTTCCAAAATATATCCACGCAAGTAAACAAATTTCAAGTTTCAACCAAACAATATATACCAATGCATGTGCAAGGCCTTTCCCCAGTATCTAATCTCTCAATAAGGCGGTTTCCAATTGGCACTAACTTTTTTGAACACTGCCAGATGATTGGCTCCTAAAACAAAGGGAATTGAATATGCAGCTCGGGTAAGCAGACGGTAGTATTTCGTCGCTTGGCGTAAGAACTACAACGTCTGTGAGCAGGCTACTGAACACAAAGAGTATTTTACACATATAGCCGTTCAGCAAATGACGAAATGTTCAACAGATATTCAAGATCTTTTGGATATGAAATTTAGAATATTTGGCCAAGCGGTGAGTAAATATATGATTGTTTCGGTTTGTGTAATGTTCTGACGGCACTTGACCCTCCGTTTGAAAGGTTGTTTTATGAGTATTACAATGGTGGCTTTTATTTAAAAGGGGGGTAAATACTCGCCGAGATATTTATATTAGAAAAATTGTGTCGTAATATGATGCGAAAGGGGGGTCGAGGAAGAGTTGTCGACCAAAGGGCCCATTTTCCTTGCTCTCCCCCCAGGATAGTATGCGATCCCCGAGGGTGAGCCGATTGCTGCAGGCACGAGATAGCTAGGGGATCTGGGAGGCAAGCCCCCAGGAAGTTTTTAAAATTTGGGTCCCTGAAATAGCATTTTCTGCATTCTGAGAACAAATTAAAAAAAATCCCAACTTCTCAATACAAAGTTTTAATGATGAAATTGCCAATAAATTACATGCTAAACATTCAAACACAACATATTTAGTTTAAGTATGCTCACCAAAAAAATTTGTTTTTTAATTAGACCTCTTTTCATCAAAAAGACCATGTAACGTCCGTTCTGCGCACACGTTGTTCGCAGGCCTACATTCCAATGGTCGGGACCCAAGCATTGGAATGTTATTAATATTTCGCATCTTCCGAAATTGCTTGAATTGAAGCTCTAGTCTGTATTCACAGGGACGTCGCGAAACCATCACCATTGGGGGGGGGGGGGGGGG